TTTCCCCTGGAGTACCGTCGCCTCCGAGGGGACCTAATTCTTACTTACGCCCTGTTTGAACAAAGCTTGGCAAATAGGTTTTTTACCGTTGACCCAGCAAACACCCGGCGGGACATAGTAAGAAAATTTTCAAGCTCAGAGCACACACATTCAGTAGACAAAGTTTTTTCTCATTTCGGGTAGTAGGTGCGTGGAATGACCTTCCTCCGACGGTAGACCACGCTCCATCTAGAACCCAGTTCAAAGCACTATTAGTACCTTTTTATACGGGTCCTCGCGCTTGCAAGCTTACTACCTCGCGCTGAGTACTTGGTGGGCAGTGCTACACCCTTTTACGTCTGTGGATTTCAGGCGCACGACAGCCGCTGGACGAAAATAGTAAAACCGACCCGTGAAACTTTGGCGAGAGCCCCGATCCTATATATCAATCCGCGAATCTGAGACTCCGTGAAACTAGGCTCAAAGCTCGACCTTGAATCCAGCCCTTGTCTGAATTCTCACACCTGTTGTGCGGGGTTGTCTCACTATGAGTTTCCTATTCGGTTCAAGGAAAACAGTGGATGAGCAGTTACGAGCTAATAAGCGCGCGATATCCAGGGCTGTCAGAGAGCTAGATGCGGAAAAACGGCGCCTAGAGCAAGATAAAACTAGAATAAAGACGGAGATTAAAAAATTGGCCAAGCAGAATGAAATGGATGCTGTGAGGATTTTGGCGAAGCAGATTGTACGCAACGACCACTACTGCAAGAAATTCACTTTAATGCGTACAAACCTGGAGGTATGTTTTCTAAGTTGATGGATTATCCTTCTAGGCCGTCAGCTTGAAACTGCAAACGCTGAAGTCAACTAACGCTATGGGCCAAACAATGAAGCAAGTCACTCAAGTCATGAAACGGATGAATGCGTCGATGAAATTACCTCAGTTGCAGAGAATAATGATGGACTTTGAAAAGGAATCTGGACTTTTGGATTCCAAGGAGGAAATGATGTCTGATGCCATTGACGATGCTCTGGGTGAAGATGATATCGACGAGTCGGAAGCCATAGTGAATTCCGTAAGTTTTTAAGGAAACTTGGGTAACTGGTTCTAGTGCATTCACACTGGTGATTCGCACCGTTTTATCTCAATTGTCCACTTGCCATTGTCATTCTGGAATTCATTCAGCAGAGGCCATTTGCTTTAGCTGAGTCGTTTGATCAGTGTCAATCTCGGCGTATGATCGTCGGAGTGCAACACGATCAGCAATATGAGCTTCCTATATCCAACCGAATAGCAAGGTGTCCGCGCGACACTCGCACAATCTCATATTAAGTTGGTCAGTGGTTATAGGTCTGATGAGCACAGTCGCCTGGTCCTCCAGGTTGGGGGTTGGAACATGTGGCGACTTGTTCCGTAGAAATGCTAATGCATTTGCATTTCCTGCCAAACACCGCTGACTTGCGGTTAGGCTTTTGAGCCAAAGGCTTTGGTTGAGGACCCTAATCGTCCTCCTGTCTAGGTGTGGGCGCCCTGGCAGTATCCCAGCCCACGTACAACCATGAATTGCACATACACAAATAAACTCATGCCATATCGGCCGTCGCGTGGTACCATCCGCCGGATCGCTTTACTCGCTGCATACAGCAGAGTGGGTAAGCGAAAACAGGCTGCTACTGACACCCCCCTTCTTTCTCTTTCACACACTCTTCCCCCCCTCCCCACCCATTACTCTCTTTGTGGGCCCAGCACTTATTGGTACCATCGGATCGCTTTACTCGCTGCATACAGCAGAGTGGGTAAGCGAAAACAGGCTGCTACTGACACCCCCCTTCTTTCTCTTTCATTCACTCTTCCCCCCCTCCCCACCCATTACTCTCTTTGTGGGCCCAGCACTTATGACTGATGACTCCGTTCGTCATGCATCGGTTTTGCGTGCAGCATCTGCTCGTCACATGGTGCCGACATCTTCAGGAATCTCCA